GGAATCTAGGCAGATTTCTCTTTCTGAGCCTGTGTTTGGCCACCTCCATCTGGGAGCAGGAGTGACTGCCACATGGGAATGCACTGGAAAGTGTGAGGACAAGTCACAGCCACAGCCAAATCAAAAATCAATGTCATGGGTCATGCCAAAGCATCAGCCACATCCACAATCACCAGCAGAGGTTTGGACGAGTCCAAATGCCCTGGTCATGGGCCATACCCAAGACGGTGATCACAGGCTTGAGTGGATCTAAAACTGTTGTCTTCATGTGCTTGGGCTGCTATAAAGTGAATAGTTGACAAACAGTAGTTTAGAGTATGAACGGGTTTCTCATGCCTCTTCCATGATGGAAGAGGAAGGCGGGCCTCTGGGGTGTCTGTATAAGGGCACCAAATTCACTCACAGGAGCTCTGCCCAAGCACCCCTCTTTCCAATACTGTCACATTGGTGACTAAGCTTCAACCTAAGAAATTGGAGGGTACTCAGCAGTTTTGATCATGGGAAGAGGCTAGGGCTTGATCTAAGCCACAGTGAAGCAAAGTCATAACCAAGCAACATTGCTCCTGTGTGGGCAGCGCCTTAGATTGTTGGGTGGTCATGGAGATTGTCACAACCATAGGGGACACCCCAGTCCAGGCCATAGTCAAGGCAGTAGCTGGGGTCATGCTTAAAGTCACATATTTATGTGTGACTTTCCAAGGATCAGACATCTGCTCAGAGAGGAAAAAACCCATCCTGGGAACCGGGGGCCTGAATTCTTTCTCTAAGAAATAGACAAATATAATCTTGGGCCTCAACACCTCATCTGTCTAACAATCTGAATGGTGGAGGTTTGGCAAAACCCTTCCAATGTACCACTGTATGGTGACCTCACACAGTCACCCGGCTAAGGGGGACACAGCACAGTCGATGCCTTTTCCATGGTCTTGTCCCTTGGGCATGCTACTCCCAGCCCTACAGAGGGCCTGCCATTCCCATGGTGGACAGAGATGTGGCATGGATGAGAGCACTTGTTTTTCCCGAACTGCTGGTTCCTAACGTGAAATCTCCATTGGCCACAGCACCATCCGGATCAGCCGGAAAGGCCGTCACGCGCTCCTGAACTTCTGTTTCCACGCAGCTCTGACCTTCACCACGTTCGCCGGTGGTATCAACCGCACCAAGTACCCCATCCTGTGCCAGGCGGTGAGTGCCGTGCACCTGTGTCATGCGACAAACATGAAAGTGTGTTTATCAGTTTTCCTAACGAAGGGGGAATTATCTCATTCATAATTATCTTATGAAATAATAGTTTAGTGTTTGCTCAGCTGTGGCTTCTGGAAGGAACCACGAGGCACCTACCTAGTGGGTTCTCCTATAGTGTCACTCTAACATCTGATCATAAAACATGGATTTTCCATTGGGCCAGCTTGCTCTGAGGCCTGTGGAGACCTGATCCAGACATCCACTGTCCAGCAAATGGTGATTGTCCCAGGAGTCAGGACATAACTCCTCTCTTAAAGAGATCGTGAAACCCTCCAGAAGCCAAGTTCACCTTGCAATCAGGAGAAGCTCAGCCACGTGTGGCTGCCAGGTTGTCCAGTCCATGGCAGACCATGGTCCTGACCCCAGCTGAACCTCAGAAGAGCACCCCTGGGCACTTCTACTCTGCCTCAGGGGAAGGGGGAGCTTTGAAGCACCCCAGCATTGAAAAGAACAAAGTCACAAAGGGTTGTCTTCACACTGTGACCTGGCTTGACTTTGGTTTAAAAGGAGAACATATAAACAATCTCTAGCCTGAGCCCAGCCCACAGTGGAGACCCTCCATCAAAACCAAGGCTAGTCCTGCCCTGTTGGGTTGTGGCTCTTGGCCAAGGAGGGGAGCCCAGTTGCAGCTCCAGAGTACTGTCTGTGAGCACACACAACCCCAAGGCCTGCTCTGTGACCAGAGTGTGCCAGCTAAGCAAACATCTATTGAGAGCCACAGAAGCAACCTCCACCTGATTACCACACTGAGGACAATGGCCGTCAGACACACTGACCTGTCTACCCACACAGGCAGTGCAGGTGAGACTCACCCTAGGGGATTCGTGAGCGACAGGCTGTTCCAACAGGGTTGCCCTGGAAAAATCCAATGGCAAGCACACACCCTCTGTCCCTCCCAGGTTCCCAGGCCTGTCTGACTCCGGCTGCACAACCAACTTGCTTTCCTAGCACTAACACAGTTTGAGACCGGGAGTGTTCTGTGAGCAGGACTCCCACACCTTGGAGACAGAGTCCATGCCCTAGAGCCTTGGGTGCCACAGGCCATCCTGAATATGTGCCTGCATGACACATCCAATCCAGGAAGCCAAGCCTGCTGCCCAGGCTTGCGCAGGGCAGAAAAGCTGGCAGGACAGCACATGCCTGAAGTGAGGCCAAGGCAGATAGCTTCCTCCATCCCTGCCTCTCTGTAAACTGAAACAATCACAGTGAGGGCCAGAAATCCCATCACTCCTGCCCAGAGCCATCGGAAAAGCAATCAAATGGGTCGTTATCTTTATGTCTGCACTTTGCCACAAGTGCTCCACCATGAGGCCATACGGCCCACTGGAATTGCCTGAGGGCCTTGGGGAAATCCCACCAGGGCTCTCTGGAAAACCTGTGACTGTTCTCCCCCTCAAGCCAGCCTGATGAGGATCTAGAGGCTGGGCACCTCAGGTCCCCGGAATTCAAGGGCTTGTGTCAGCCTAGGAGAGATATTTGGAAGAGGTGAGTCAGGTCTAGAAGGATCTGAAAAGTTGAGATCTGTGAAGGAAGGGACTGCTCCATTCATCATGACAACCCCAGGAACCCCAGACACAGGGGATGGCCCTGTGCCACTCAGATGCATCCCAGCTACAGGCTGCTTTTCCAGAAGTAGGAGGCCTCCTTCACTCACCCACGTCTCTCAGCAAACATGCCTGCCAGGCGCAGGCCATGCCGTGGGTGCTGCACCAGCCGAAAACGCACAGGGCCTGTATCATGGAGCCTCCCTTAGGGTTAGCGCTGCACTACAGACATATGCAGCAAGAAGAGAAGCCATCGGCACAAGGAGACGCTATGCTGAGGGGAACGGTGAGGGACAAAACTCAGGTAAACAGGAGCAGCAAGGTGGAGCTGCAGCTCTGTTGCACGGCAATCCCCAGCAGGCCTGGAGGTTTAACTACCCTATGCCTGAGCACATGGACAAAGTGTCAATTACCACTGAAGTTCCCTGAGCCAGAGCCCAGGTTGGCTCTGATCTGCAGCCTGGCAGCCTGGGACAGGAGCTGATCCAGCTCACCCAGAACAGCGCTCCCTCTATCACCTGCTAGAAGGGCAGATGAAGAAGCAGACTGTTGAAAGCCAGTTGTGTCCGCCATGACCAGTCAGTCACCCATGACTGCTGCCCCTGTGGTTAAGCACAGGACCCCCAGTCTTCTCTTCCCCATCTGTAGCTCAACATCACTACAGAACTACCAGGAAAAGTGGTCCAGAGTGCTGGATGGCTGGAGAGAACAGACAGTTGTCATGGAAACAGAAAGATGACCGTGAGCCCTATTAAAGTACTGACATCATAAACAAAGCAGGCGGCTACCATGAGTCCCACGTAATTAGTGTGCGTCATCACTGGCCCTGGGTCCGGAAGCAAGGGAGATGTCCTGCCCTCGCCTCCTTTCCGTGGCACAGTCTGGAAGCCAGGGCAGCACCCTGTGGCCCCAGTGTCCAGCTTAAAGTCTGTGTTTGAGTGACAGAGCCTGCCATGTACACCTTCTTGTAATCCCCAAGCACACAGCCTGGACAAGGCTCAGCCTGAGAATGAAAAAGCCAGAACTCCCGAGAGCAGGCTCACTCTCCAGCCAGCCATGCTTCTCCCTCCTCAAGGCCCTGGGTCAGTGTCCCAAGGCCAAGGTCAGGAACCCTTCTGAGGATGAGTCTCTGACACTTCTATTTGTACACGACAATGACAGCCACACTGAAGACCTTCCTTCAAGCCAGGGCCAGACCCATTGGGCCACCTTTGCCCTATACTCTCGGATGCAGAGAACTCTGGCCGCCCATCCCAGTACTTCCCACCCCCAGTCAGACAGACTGAAGCCTGCATGCTTGGGAGGTCCACACTGGCTCCCATCATGCCTGGGGTCAGGAAGGCAAGGGAAGGCTGAACTTGCAGGGCTTCCGAAAACATCAACATCTCTTTGGTCTGTCCACCTCCCTCAAAATCCTCGTCAATTATCACCAAGTTTGCTCACAATTAGAATCAGACTCTGGATTTGATAACTCATTATGATGATGCATGTTAGCTTCATTCAGGGAATCTCTGTATTCCTTAAGCCTTCATGTCCTTTCCAATTATAGCAATATTTTGCTTGTCATTTGAAAATGTCAGGTTACTACCTCAAAGGTAGCCTCATTTTAAGGAGTCAGATGGAGATGAGGGAGTGCAGCATGTGAAGTTAGCTAGGACAGAAGAGCTGTGGATGGAACACAGCTCTGGCCTCTGTTTCCATGGTAATGAGTCACTCTGATGTGCACGGGTGGGGGGTGGGTCATCCGAACCTGCTCCCCAGACTGCTTTTCCTTATGTGCAATGCCACACCTGATAGCCAGGTGGAAGCCCTGTCCTGGGGCTGTGCCCTCCTTCCACCTGGGGGTCCCTGTATGGAGCCAGAGCACACTGGGAAGTCTGTGCAACATCTCCGTCCCCATCCCCGCCCCAGGGATGGTGAGGATGCCCTCAGAGGCAGGTGTGCAGCCCACAGTCTCCCCATCCACTCTAACCCCTCACACACAGAAGGGACCCCAGCTAAGCTTTCAAGGGTCTTGGCCACCCCTAGTGTGTCCCCTCCTGGGCTCATTTCTTGTCCCTAAAGAGCTGCAGAGAGGTTGCCAAGGTTCAGCCCACTCATGGTCCAGGAAAGCTAGGCTGTGCATGGTGGGTCAGCTGCACTGGGGTGGCTGGCTGGCAATGGTGGCTGGCTGACACTCTCCTCTCTCAGGTGGGCATCGCACTGCACTATTCCACACTGTCCACCATGCTGTGGATCGGAGTAACCGCCAGGAACATCTACAAGCAGGTGACCAAGAAGACCCCTCTGTGCCCGGGTGCAGACCAGCCACCGTACCCCAAGCAGCCCCTGCTCAGGTACTCGCGTGCGTGCAGGCAACCCTGGGTCCAAGAAACTCCTGACCCTGGAAGCTTCCTCCCCTGAGGATAATCCTAGCCACATAGGCGGACTTGGGGGCTGGACGGGTGGAAGACTAGGGCAGCAAGCAGGGGTGGATAGGGCCCTGGGGCGGGGGACAGCATGGAGGACCTGTTGGTCTGGGAATATGTAAGCCCCTGCACTGGGTGGGCCTTTTGGGCTGCCCCGTTACTGGCAGGAGGTCCTCTGTGCCCCTGGGGAGGCCAAACTTGGACACAGGATGGTTGTGTGGCTTTGGTTTACTTCCTGGTCTCAGAGACGCTACGGAGCCTGCTCTCAGCTAGTGGAAAACCATAGCACACTCGGCATTAACCTTGTGGTGACCATGGCCTGGCCTCTTGGAATTGGGTGGGTTGGGAAAGGGGCCCTGCTCCAGCTGAGCGTCTCCTACCTCCTCCTCAAGGGGGACCCACAGAGGACTTAGGAGCCATGGATGCGCTGGGGCCACAGGAATGGTCCTCAAGGGCGAGTGCAGGGATGGTTGCCTCCCTCCTCCCACAGTCAGAGCTAGGGAAACCCCGTAGGACCAGCCCATCTGGGAGATGGCAGACGTTGCCCTGACTTCAGCAGAAAACAATCAGGTTGAGGACCCTTTAGATAAGACGATGCCTGCATCCATACTGCACAGCAGACGTCAGCAACAGGAGGCTGATGGCTTTGTCGTATGCTCTTGCAAATCAAGACTGAACCATGTCTGGAAACACCACAACGAAACCCCTTTTAAAAAATGACCGAACCCCAGACTGCAGTCAGCCAAAGCTAGGCTCAGAGCAGCTGGCCTGAGAGGCCTTGGGTATGGACACTGACCTGCACAAAGTGGGCCTCACCTGCCTCAGTCCCAGAGATCAGAGACTCCTCAAATGCCCTGCTTGGCTATGAGGTTGTTGCCTGCAGGGGCTGAGTCACCCAGCTTCTCCAACCGGACCTGAACTTGAGGGGATACCTGTCTACTCGTTGGTGTGTCTCTCACCAGCGGAAGAGTGTTCGGAAGCAGATGGAGCAGTGTCCTGCACGGTTTAAGTAAACGAGGCTGATTTCCTCCAAGAGCATTCTGCTGTTTGATCTTCAGGTCCAGGCAGACATGCAGCCACATAGCAGCCTGGGGGCTGCTGCACTCGGGCCAGAGAGGCAGCATTTCATTATCGTGACTTTCCTGCCAGGGCTCCCAGGTTTAACAATCACTCTCAGTTGTGTCTCCTTATCTGTGCCTGATCGAAAAGTCAAGTTTTGAGAGGTGGAGGCCAGGAGTTCCTGTACTTTCTCTCTGATGTCTTCCAAGTGCACTTCACAGAGCCGGGGTCCAGGTGCTGCTGGAGTTGAGTTTGGGGCTGGGCCAGGCCACCACATCCATGGTGCAAATGGTACTGATCATCATAAAGGGAACTTGCCATTCTCAATGTGCCTGGAAGCCCACCATCCCCACCCATCTCTCTGTGCCTTAATGTGCTGTGGATGTCCCCACAGTGCTGTGATCCTAGCAACATCCCTTGGTCACTGGCATGCCGGGCTCCTCCTATTTCCCCTAGGCCCTTTCCCAGTGGCTGGCTGTGGGTTTGATATGCACACCACCCACAGGTGCATGCTTTCCGCAAATGTATGCCCCCCTACAAGTGCACATCCTCTGCAGGAACATGTCTTCTGCATGTGCATGCCCTTCACAGATGCACATTCCCTACAGATATGTGCCCTTCACAGGTACACACCCTCTCCAGGTGTACACCCTCCACAGGTTAATGCTCTCTACAGGCACATGCCCTCCTCAAGGGCATGCCCTCTGCAGAAGCACACTCTCCACAGCACAGGCCCACCATGGGTACATGTTCTCCACGTGCGCACACCCTCTGCAGGTGCAGACACAGGAGGGTGGGGAGATCAGCTTCATGCTCCACTGAGAGCCTGCTCCCTTCTGTTGCTCTCTGCACCTGCCCTTTCTCAGGGAGACCAGAGACCCTGAGAAGGAGTGGAGGAATTGACAGCTTCCCCTCCAGGTCCCCTGAGATGCACTCTGTGGTGGTTAATCCTGATTACCAACTTGATTGAATTGAGAGATGCCTACAAGATTAGTAAAGCACACTTCTGGGTGTATCTGTAGGGCATTTCCAGAGAAAAATGACGTGAGGGACAGTAACTGAGAGGGAAATACATGCCCTGAATATGGGTGGCACCGTCTAACAGGCTGGGAGCCCAGATGGAATAAGAGTGGAAAAGGAGGAAGCCCGCCAGCGTGTGTGAACCCCACTCTTTCTAAGCAAGTGCATCCATTGCTTCTGCCATCACCCATGGACAGCAGATTCCAGCTTTGTCAGCCTTTCAATGAGGACTTACACCAGTGACTTCCAAGGAGCTCCCTGGCCTTTAGCCTCAGACTGGGGCTGTATCGTTGTTGTGTCTTGTTCTGAGACTTCCAACTTTTGAGCAGCTACTGTGTTCTCTGGCTCTCCAGCTTGCAGACAGCCATTGTTGGGCTTCAGCCTCCAATGGTATAAGCCAATCCAATAAGTTCTCTTTTATAATTACATATATTCTGTTAGTTCTTTTCCTCCAGAGACTCTTGACTAATACACCCTCAAACCTTGAGTCTGCATCCCTGGCCCCAGTCTCCAAACTCCTAAAGTGGCCTGTGCTTATCAACACTGACAGATATTAGTCCTGAGTTCCAAGAACTGCAAGACAAGAGCTTCAAAGTGTCTGCCAAGCACACATTCTGCTTAACCACTCTGGGTAGAGCACCCCATCCCTTCTCGCTGGACCCTTGGCCACGACAGGCAGAATGGCTGCTCCTGGGGGCAGCAGCAGGCCGGTGTTGTTGTCTGTGCAAAAGGATCCCCATGTGCTCAGTCCAGCCTGCAGGTTTCCAACAAGAGACAAAAGAAAACTGCCTCTGAGTGACTTCTGTGGGAACCCAGGGGATACTAGTGGGGCTCCACATTTTGAGCTGCCCTTCCTTTCTTTGAGGCCACGCCGGAGTCTATGGTCACAACACCCACCTCTGCTTGGTTCTGAGGGAGCAAGGCCCATTTTGGAGAGATTTCAAGGACAGCCATATGAAATGTTTCAGGACTTGAGTCAACAAATACCTCACAAGCCTGAATCCTTCTCTGTGTGGGCACTGGGTACGACGGGGCCAGGTCATCTTGGGTGACTCCTCTCTCCACAAGACAACCTATGACAGACACCCCACAGGTGGGTCAGGAACCTGCCTTCAGGTCAGGGAGAGGAAGGACACTATCAGGGCCTGGCAGAAATAGGTATCAGTCTTAGCAGCCCAAAACCTCTCAGCTGAGTGGGCCTCATTGCCAGACTGAAGTCACATCTGCTGACTCCTCAACCAGGATTGAGTTTCCATGACAACGAAAACCTAGGCTCTCAGCGGGGATTTTGCAACTTTAGATTGTAATTCACCTGGTCTCATCTCCCCTCGCTCCCAAGATGCACCCTCTACGTACATACAAGACCTGTGCATAGATTTGGGGGCACCCTGAGCACCCCAGTTAGAAAGCACTCCATGACCAGGACCTCAGAATGGACACTGGGTGTGTGGAGAAGGAGCAGCCACTGGGGTCTCCTTCTTGACAGTGGGGTGTCACGTAACACCCAGGCCCAGATCCTGTGTGGCTGGACAAGTGGACACACAGACAAGGATCATAGAGCTCACATACCAGGGACAAGTCATCAGAGGCCCAGATCCCTCAGAGGAAGAGGCAGACTGGGGGTCTATACAAGCTCACAGCCCTGGTCTGAGGGTGACAGGCCTGGCCTCAGCTGCGGACTGTCAGGACCCCTCCAGCTCTGCTGCCACAGGGACCACACTGGCCTGCAGGCCACGTGAGGAAGCACGACCATTTTCATAGGACTGACCCTTCTGGGCACAAGCCTGGGCAACCTTTCCATCTACCGGGGTCTTAAATTTCCCCCAGCAATGTAGTACACAAGTCCTGCACCCCTTTTGATACGTTTTTCCCTCTAAGTGTTTTCTCTCGCGCTCTCTCTCTCTCTCTCTCTCTCTGTTTGGTGTTCCAATCGTTCTCCACTTGTGCATAGAAATATGACTGATTTTTCTATGTTGATCTTGCATCCCTAAAGCTTTGCAAGTTCCTTTTATTAGGCCCTAGAGTTTTCCTATACTTAGGATTTTTGTATATATCATGCCGTCTGTGCTACGAAGAGCGTTGCTGTTTCCACCTTGGTCTAACTGCTCTGGTAGAACCTCCATTCAGTGGTAGCCCGCTCTTTTTCTTAGTCTAGCAAAGATTCACCAATTTTCTTGACCTTTCTCATCTCTATTTTATCATGTCTGCTCTGGTCTTTTGTGATTCCCTTTCTTCTGCTCACTTCCAGTGTAGTTTGCTCTTCTTTCTCCTGTTTCCTTACAGTATGAAATCAGATTATTGATCTGAGACCTTTCTCCCTTAATGAAGACATTTACAGCTGCGAGTTTTCCTCTGAGCTGCATTGCTGTGTCCCGAAGGTGTATTGTATGGCTTTTCATTCATCTCAGAGTAGTTTCTAGTTTTCCTTGGGATCTCTTCCTTGGCCTTTGGTTATTTAAGAGTATGTAGTTTAATTTTCACAGATCATTAGGTATTCGTGGGAAAAACACCCTCCCTAGAAATGTGCTAAGACTTTCAGTGATGAAGGGAATGAAGGAATTCCCAGCTTGATCACAGGGTGAGGCGTGGTAGCTGCAGCTGGCCCATGTTTGGGCAGAGATATTTGCTACAATGATGAGATGAGACACAAGTCTCATTCCTTCCCTGTGTTTGGAAATTCTTCATCTGCTGAGTGGCTCTGTGGCCAGGACAGGTGCGACAGACAGGCGGGGAGGGACTGGGTGATCTCTCTTCCTGCAGCCCTGACCAGGCTTCATCTAGATACCACAGAGCAGACCCAGAGGCTCGCGGGGGTCTCCTGTGCAGTCGTGACTATAAATTGAGTGTGA